GTCATGCTGCAATGTCAAGTGTTAGACATCCCTAAAAAGTATCAAATTCAAAGTGAAGCTGATGCTAATGTATTCATTTCTTGAACCATGGGCTAAGAACACTCCTTTAGCTGTTTCTAGAATCAGTTTCCTGTTGATTCTATCATGCATATCTGTCCATATTCTACACAGATATATGCTCCCTAAGTGACTCAATTTAGCTGGTGTTTTTCAAATTCCGTTTTGAACCTCACCTGCAGGCAACTTTTTGGAGTCACTTGTTTCCCATGACTTGGGACAGGGTGCTGCTGGCCCCTAGAGGGTTGAGGTCGGGAATGTTGTAAAACATCTTAGAATGTACAGGGTAGTACTTTCAATAAAAAAATGACCTGGCCCAAAATGTCACTGGTACGGAGGCTGAGAAGCCACGTGTAAAGGCAACACTTGGTAGCTCCTTGGGCTCACAAGAAGTAAGCCCTATTTATTGATGGCTTTCTAAGACTTATGGGAACCAAGCAGAAAAGAATAAGTTGAAAAGCAGTAACAAGGCCGGCTCTTCCCCCGCTTAATATTTGAAAGAAAGATTTATAGCCTGTCTCTCAGATAGAAAAACTGCCTTTGGGAGTTTTTCTCGGTGGATCCCTGACACAGATCCTTAACTCTCCTACAGAAAGCTCTCATAATACAAGGGATTTAGCATAGAGTTGAACAGTCTTGGGTATAAGAATGGGGTCTTGGTGAAATCAGAACTGTATTTGTTTCTCACAATGAAACATTTTCTTTTTCTAACAGTATAGCCACCTGGACAAAAATATCCATTTGAAATGCAAGTGAAATGCAAATTCTCCCCTTCTACACAGATAATCAGTATATTTATACTTAATCCATGAAGGCATGATATTACAAAACACAACTCTATATTATGAAGCCATATGGCATCAAATTTTCCAATTTATAGACAACTTTATATTTACATAACAAATTATTAAATCAACCATTTTTCAGGTTTATAAAAGGTCACTGAGGTACACACACAGTGTGTATAAAAGCACATAAGGCTGATCATACATATTTACAGTAGATACAAATTATCTTTTCATATTTGAAGATAATACTTTTCATATATATATTTTTTTCTGTATCAGACTCCCCCGTTAGCAGGATTTCCCATGCTTGAGCTGTTTATTGCTTTTTGGCTCACTGATTTAAAACTCATTTCTGGGCTGTTTACACATATGAATTACTAATGTCCTTATTTCTTTGGCTAATGCAAATGTGACAGAGTGAATGAAGGAAAAAGAAACCAATTCAATATTATAGCTATGGCTGGTTGATATCTTTTGTTTATCTCTTCCAAGTGGATCAAGTAATGCAAAATGTTTTTTATATATTACACTGAAAAACCTTGATCTTGCATTGTATCATTTGGGCAGAAATGGTCAAAGTAAAAAAGATAATAGATTTTCAGTAAGGTCTAGAGTCTTACTGAAAACTTCTTTTCAGGAAGGGCAGTGCCACCAACATTGTAAGCATCTTACCAGATTTTAAAATCCTAATGCAAAACTGAATGTGACTTACAAGGGAACACTTCAAATTGCATGGACAATCACCAAGGTTAGCAGCAATGTGCTATTACGCTCTGAAATGAAAAACAGCTCATGTGGTAAGAGAATCTTCCTAAAACTTACAGAAAGTAAGGCTTCTGCTCCTTCCATAATTCTGCAGTGTTGTATTCAAGTAAGAACACCAGTTTACTTTAAAAATAGACACAGTAGAACGCCAAGTCAAGGTCTCAATAAATGACTAAATGTGGCTGATGATATCAGGAGGGATGAGTGCTCTTCAAGCATTTCATTCATAATGTGACTGAAAAGTATATACCAAAATGTTTCTTTAAATAGATGAAAAAATAAAAAGACCCTGGACTGCTTGTAATGCCACAAACAGGACAAACCACAAAAGAGCTTCTTGATGAATTTCTACTCATCTGAAACAATCTTTAAAACTTACTCGGATGTGTAGCTTATTCCCCTTGTGCTTTCTAGAACTGTTTAGAGACAGGAATGCATTGCATTTTCTTGCTGGCAGGGACTGTTGTGTTCTTTAAAGGAAAAAAGAAAACTTTTACTCTATTTCTATTCTTTTTTTCTTTTAAAAAGGATAGTTTAGGGAATAAAAATTTTACTAATTAGAAAGGTTATCCTTCATTTAAAGATGATTTGGCTTCAATAAAGAGAAAGAAAAGGCTCTATGGGCAGAACTGAAGTATAAATGGACCAATTTTTTAAAAAAAATTATAAAGTAGGTGAAACATTTAAAAAATGTTATAGCACTGCATGACCTAAAATACTGACATTATTTACATTTGTTGCTTACACAAAACTGTGTAACTATAAAGAGAGAGGAGAAAGCCCTATGTGGTGTGAGAACTCCACCCAGCACCCACAGCAAATCCATGAGCCACGGTGAAGTCAGGGCAGAAACATGCTTTAAAGCATATGTAGTGGAGAATTGCAAATGAAATTCGCTCAAAATACCCCTAAAGAAAGGCGTGGCTGACAGTCTGAAGATGAAGGGCAAAGGCTAAAAACATCTTGTGTACAGCGACATATAACACATGCAGACACACTGAATACACAAACACGTGCATCTATCTGTGAAGAAACACAACTAGGAACACAAAACAGGAGAAAAGCAGGTTGATGCAAAAGAACATTAACGGCTTAAACACACTGAACAGATCAACTTGTGACGAAAACATGTCTACTAAACTACACAAAAGATCATTTTATGTGAGTGCATGAAGGACTGGGCAGCTGTAGAACCCTAGCTCCAGTGTCTACCTCCAAGGTCCAGAAAGAGGAAATGAACATACTCCCTGAAGGAAGTGCTCCTGCAGCAAACCACTTGTATTCTGCCAGGCTCGAAGATGGGATGGAACAGAAGAGATAGAGGCACACAGATCTGGGAGAAAAACTCGGAATTTTGCGATCAAAAGTGAGCCTGGGTGATATGCTCTGTGCTGTGGCCCCAAGAAACCAACTTGAAGCTGTTCTCTTTTTTTTCCTGAGTTGCTGGAACTCTGCCACATGGTAGGATTGAGGATATTAACAGTAAAGTTGGGAAGGTGGTGATATCTAGGAGTCCAGAGCCTGTCAGGGTACAATCTCCCATAAGCCAAACACTGGGCAACAGTGCAAGCCCCAGACTGGAAACCGGCAGTGCTTTCTGGGGGCTTGGGGATGGAGGCTAGTGGTTCCAAGAAAGAGGGACAGTGGATCCCTTCTTTTAACAATCTTGAATTGCCATGGCTTGAAACTTCACCAACTGCCTGGGGGGACAGGATATGCTATATCACCACGGGAACTGCGAAAGAAGATGGAAAATACACTGTGCTGATTTCCTTGCACTTTACAATGGCTCAAAGTTTTAGGCTTGTATATTTGTAAGGTATTTTTTCTTACATGTTTCACATTTTTTCTTACCTAATATAATATAAATAATTTGGTTAGTAGACTTAACCTGCATATTCCAGCCACATTTTATATATATATAAAAGAATCTTTGAATGGTATAAATAATTCTTTAAATAAAATAAATCTGATATGTTACATAATACTGATAAAAATTACCATTGCTACTAGTTTTGTAAGACACCTTCACTTTTGGGTAAATTGACGCTGATGGATGCATATGAATTTTGTTTTGATGATTTGTACTTATTTTTGCCACTACAAAACAAATGAACAAAAAACCACAGCTAAACTGTAAATCACTCTTACTTCTGTTAACGTTTTCTTTTTAAAATTTTATTATTTTAATTTTATGTGTACGAGTGTATTGCTTGCATGTAGGTAGGTGCACCCGTGTAGTGCAGTGCCTGTGGAGGTCAGAAGAGGGCATTGGATCCCCTGGAACTGGAGTTATGGACGATTGTTACCCACCATGTGGGTGCTGGGAATCAAACCCCGGTCCTCTGCAAGAGCAGCCGGTGTTCTTAACCACTGAGCCATTTCTCCAGTCCCATGTTAATGTTTTCAAAGTTTGGCTTCTGCCTCCATGTGTGGAAGTGGAAGGTTTGCCTTGTCAGATACTATTTGTAGAAAAACTTTGATTCTGAGCATCATTGGTGGTGAGCTATCTAGTTCTATAGGTGGCTATCAAATATTAACTACATAAACAGTTGAGTAAAATAGTTCATCTAAGTTGTTTTTGAAATATAAAACCTATTTGAAAACTTAGGTTTTTTGTTTTTTCGTTGTTTTTTTTAAATGCCCTAAAGGGGACAGCTATATCACCTTCTCCAAGGCTGAGGGAACATGAAGAGGCAGTGAAAAAAATGTAAGAACCAGAGGATGGAGAGCTATGCAGCAAAAAGACAGATGTTTTCTGGACATGACATAGCCATTGCACACATGAACTCACTACAGCTGTGGTTCAAGACTAGGCCCCTCAACATTTCATCATGGATATGGGAGGGGCCCTCGAGGCCTCACCCGTCTCCAAGGAACTACTGGGAGTTAATGGTTGTTGGGGGAGGGTGTGCCATTTTTCAGTGGTTAGCCACTGTTAAGTCGTCCTTGCTGCAGTAAATAACCTCACACCTATGCTCTGGTAAGAAACTCCAATTAAACCCAGTGGATCACATATGAAAAGAAGACATGAAAGTGGGAGGGGGATTTGTTGGGCAGAAGGGTTTCAGTGGGAAAGGGAAATGGAGGATGAAAATAACTAAAATTCATTATTTAAATGTACAAAACTGTCAAACAAACAACAAATGCAACCAATGGTTGCACTAACTGAATTCTTAATTTAGGCCTGTGAGTCCTCATCCCTTTAGAAGTCTGCAAGGTTGCAAGTTCCTAGACATCCAAATTGAGTCCAGTGCTTCCAGGCAAGGATTATCCTAAATAGATAATATAAATGGACACTCAGTGGTGTGCAGTGTATGCCATAGTTGGATATTACATCATCATGCCTTTTCTCTGCTGTTAAATACAAAAACAGCATCTTTTACATTATCATAGAAAAGCATTTAGGTTGTATTTTTATTTATCACTTTACACTGGTAGTCTCTGGTAGGTGTACTCCATAGAAACCAAAGAGTTTTGTACACTATTTCTTTGTACAATAAAAGATAAAGTGTGCATTAGGTATGCTTGTACATGACAATATTGTACAATATTTACATTTCTAATATCGCCATGAAATTCTGTATTTTCTATATACAACGTTGAAAATTCTTCAGAAACATTTGGACTATTTCTTATAATCACAATTTTAGTATTATAGAAAAAGTTTCTCAGCAATCTCTTGACCATTTATCACTCTCATCATACAGGGATTTTGATTGGTTTTTTTCAACATTCATTATCCTTCCTGATCAAAACAGTTTTCCATTACTATTCCTTTTAGCACGCTGTGGTGGTGATAGCTATCTGCCATACTTCAAATACTGATATAACAGTGGCCATATCAATACCTATATACAGATGTATCTGTGCATGCTCCTTTGATAAACACTGCATGTTAGTGGAGCAGTCTCTGTTATCTGGAGATCTTCCTCCTCTTGGGTTTGGGGGGCCTCATTTGTCGGTCACCCTGTGGGATTTGGTGAACCTGGAAATAAGATGAGAAAAAACAATAAGGAAGGTTGAAATCACGAACACCATTTGACTTCTGACAGAGAAATGGGGTAGGGAACAGAGTCTGGCTTCACTTCAGTCATTGATATTCTAAAGCACTTAAAAGTTTTATGAAGACCTGATTTTGCTCACCATCAGTATAAGGGATGAGCAACAGTAGAAACTGAGAGTAACACTCTGCAGGCTCCACTCAACAGTGGAGCACAGGGATGAACTGGAGAAATGTATTTGCTATCCCCATTGTCCATTTCAGACAAAAACAAAGCCGTTCCAGCCAGAGTCCCCTGGATAAACAATCTCACTGTGGCCTGGAAAGTCAGGTAACTGAATACCAAACATGATTTCTTTTTCACCTTATCACCCTACTTATAAATATGTGGTGTGAAAAATCAGGCCAAGGATGTTTATGAGAAGAATCATCAGGAAAACAGAACACCACTATAATCCATTGGCAGGTCTGAGCTTGTGTAAGCTGGGAAGAACAATTAATATAATTCATTGTTATATACTCATGCAGGAATCTGCAGCACTTAAGTCTGTGTATTAGACTGAGCAGGGGTTGAGTAGTACCAGAGTGTTCAAAAATGGATATATTTTAATGGCAGAAGGGAAATAATCAGGTCCCCCAAATTATGACATAGCAACTGATGGGAAGGAACAAAGTAAGATCCAGAAAAGCAGGGTGAACCCATGGCAGTAGCCAAAGAGAAATTTAAAAACTAGCATTTAGACACAAATCCACTGGTATTTTTCAATTTCCATGGAATGGTATAACTACTGTACCACAGCCTGTTTCAACCTGTGTCAACATGTTGACACAGAATTAGAACGATCAGTTCTTGAGATCCAGCACAAGCTGGCTTAATTATGTGTTTTTTTTTTTTCTGTTGTTGTTTGTTTTCCTTTTTGAGACAGGGTCTCCCTGGAGCCACAGCTGGCCTAGAACTTGCTAAGTAGACCAGGCTGGCCTTGAACTCAGAAAGATTTGCCTGCCTCTGCCTCCTAGGTGCTGGGATTAAAGGCGTGCACCATCATGCCTTGTTAATTATGTGTTTTTAAAGTAATGTTTAAGGGTTTGGGGTTGTAAGCACTTGCTTACATGAGCCTTAATTAGCACTGAGAAAAAAGAAAAAAAATAGACAGCAGCAAAGGTTAATTGTCTTTAGTCAAAGACAAAAATAAATAAAAAAAAATAGTATCTAAGGTGCCTGAGGGATGGCTCAGTGGTTAAAAGAGCATACTACTCTTGCAGAGAACCCAAGTTCAGTTCCCTGCACCCAAGTCAGGTGGCACACAATTGCCTGAAACTCCAGCTCTACGAGCTTCTCAAACTACCTCTTCTTCCAAATCCTCTGCACATATTTTAAATCTTATTTATTATTTACTTATTTTAATTTTATGTGTATGAGTATATTGCCTGTATGTATAGAAGTGCATGAACCTTGTGTAGTACTGGTGGAAGACAGAAGAGGGCATTGGATCCCTGGAACTGGAGTTACAGACAGTTGTTAGCTGCCATGTGGGTGCTGAGATTCAAACTCAGGTCTTCTTCAAGAGCAGCCAGTACTCTTAACTGTTGAGCCATCTCTCCAGCCCCTCTATACATATTTTTAAAGCAAGTACAGTTGAAAGCCATAAATGAAGGGGGTTGTATAATTGAGGAAAGAAGTCCTTTTTCGGGGGATGAGGTTGAGACAGGATCTCCCTGTAGCCATGGCTGGTCTGGAACTCACTATGTATCCTGGGCTGCCCAGATCTCACAGAGATCTGCCTACCTCTGTCTCCCAAGTGCTGGGATTAAAGGCGTGTGCCACCAAGGCCAGCTGAGAAGTCTTCACAACAGCAAATTAATAATCCATGGACCAAATGTGGTCTGAAAAGGTATTTTATTGAGCTCTGTAGTAGTTTAATAATTTGTGTGCATGCTTTAATATTTTTCACATAATTGCAAAGATGAGAAATTTTACTTTTGTGTTCTTAGAATTGGGGAGACCTGGCAACCCTGCTGGAGCATGAAGGAGGAAGTACTTCTGAAGAACTCAGGCCCAGGGTGGCCTGTTACTCTCCAATGCCTATTGGCCACAAAGGTTGAACACCCCAAGACAGAGAGTAATGAGATGAGGGCCAAACCCATATTTTCTTTTTCTTGAGAAGGCATATTGTATAATGCATTTCCCAACCCACTTGAGTTAAGAAGGCCATATAACAGGACCAGGTCAATGGAAAGTCAGAGGTGCTAAGTTTCTGGCCTGCGCCCATAGAAGCTCTGCTGACAGTTCTCTGTGTATTCTCTTTTTTCACTACTGAGCAAGATGCAAAGGATATATGGAGCACTCCAAGGTCCTGAGGAATGGTGGGCACTAAAGAGAAAAATGGAGGTCTATGAATAACTGGGTGGAATAATTCTCCTCATTCAGTACCAGAAACAAGTGACTATGGTCTTTGCTGTTGAGTTTCTAAGACAGGGAGTAGGAGACACCTTACACTAACATCTTTGTTAGCAAGTTTCAATTCTAGAATTGCTGCTGTTTTCATACCATATTCAGTTTATTTACAGATCTTATTTGCCTGACCCTGAAGATACTGAGTATATGACCCTTGGTCTAGACCTTTCCTATATGTTGGTAAGACCATTTGGTGTCTTAGGGTCTCAGTTCATCCCGTGAAATGATAGGCTGGAGTGAACGTTGCACTGCTGAATATTTTGGTAAGAGTCATGGCCACCGCTGTGTGTAGTCAAATGTGGAAAGCTGTGGCTTGAGCTTCTATGGCTGCTTACATCTTAAATAAATATTATGTAGGAAAACAAAAGTTACTTATCTCAGGAAAAAAAAGACAGCTAATATTGCTAGGCTGATTTTTCTAAAATAATTTTTCTGATATAAGTCCTTCTTCCTAGCTTAGTAGTTTAGTATTACTATGTGAGTTGCTTGAGGTTTTACCAAAAAAAGAGTTTTAATAAAATATATTTTTAAAGAAATTCAATATAATGAAAAATAAGTTAACTTACAGTCCCAGACATTTTGTCCAATTCACTCATGGCCTCGTGAATAGCAGCTTCTAAATGGTTATTTAGCTTCCCACTTCTGGAATCAATGAAACACGCCAGATTAACAAATTAAAGAAACAAAATATCTCCGTTTAATTCCCTAATCAGGAAACAAAAGCATCAATTCCAACAGAGAAAGCCAATTTATATTCACATTTGGAAAATTCAGTCACAAAATATCAATCTGGAGTTCTCACCACTGAACACTAATGACCAAAGCCACTGCACCACTAAAAACATTAACTCATGAAGCTCTTTCCACCTTCTACGTGCTCCTTCCACATTTTGGTGATTTCGGAAGAACTTGGGCGAGGACTCTGCACACTAATGCAGTCAGTGCTTCCTGCCAGAATTCAGCCTGCCTCATGCTGTCTCTCCTGTGGCCGCTTCTCAGCTGCAGAGAGAAGGGCGGAGGGGCTGAACTGCAGGCTCTGGCCGCTAGGGAGCTCCCTCCGCTGTTGGGAGCGTCCTGGCTGCGGAATTGAGCAAGGAAAAGCTGCAATTCTGGTGCGCTTTCTAGGTGAGAAACAGCTTATTACCTCGCCACACCCACACTCCGAGCTCGGAGCCTGGTCCACCACATTTCTCGCTAAACTGAAAGGAGACTTTCAACAGCTACTGAACGGTCGCAGGCTCCTAGCTCCTCGGATCCTTGATCTTCACTCAGCATTCCATAATAGGTTGTCGTGGATAACATACCACACATCTGCCATTTTTGAAATTTATACGGAGGAAGCTGCTGTACCAACTAGTACAATCTGGCAAATTGCCCTTCTCTGTGGTTACCACCCCTTGCCTATTCTGGCTTTTCCTCTTATAAATAATTACTCCCAAACCTGAATACTGAAATAGTCAATCTGTTGCATTTATCCTGCCAGGACAATTACTAGGCAAGCTGCAGAAGCCAACTTTTCCACAGCAGGCTATCAGCATGGCTTTCCAAGAGTTAACTCCTATCTCGGCATCTACATGGAAGCTGGAATCTACAGCTGTGGGAGATCGTGACTCACAGTCTCATTTAGTTTGGCTTAACATAGTGTTTAAAAACACTTTAACCGGCAGAATGCCTTTAGATAAGTCTTTCAGCTTACCACAGCCCTCGCTAGGCTTTAGCTGAAATGCACCGTGACTTGACAATTCATATATTTTGTTTCTCTCTATACCTTACAGAACTCGGAGTTTTCCACCTTTGAGCATTTCATGTCTAGAACACTATAGATGCTGCATACATTTGTTAAATGCATTTGTTCAAAGTGAGCATGGATGGTCTTACGTTTTGGAAAAAAAAAGGTACATTTAAGTCAGTTCAATTGAAAGGAAAGATTAGTATATTAACAGTAACCAAGGACAATATCAACACAATTCCTTCCACCTTTTGTTGGCCTTATAATCTGGCCTTTGGCTTTTTTTTTTTTTCCTTAATTTTAAAAAAGCTAAAAATGCAGAGAAGTTCATAGAATAAAACAATAACCCAACATATCCATTCCCCAGAACAAACTGTTAATAAATTACATGTTCTTATTACATCTTTTTATTAAAATAAATCTGGCATTTCCATTTGTCTACTATTTCAGTCACATCCTCTCCCATATGCCTCCCAACTTCTAGTTTGTTCTTATGTTTTATATAACATCCATGAATACAGCCTAGTATTGTTTCGTGCATTTTTAATAAGCAAAAGTTGTCATGATATACACATCATCTCTCCCCACTATTATTATTATTATTATTATTATTAATTTGAGGCGAAGGCTTGCCATGTAGCCCAGGCTAGCCTGGAGCTCATAATTCTCTTGCCTCTGGCCCTTTGTGCTGGAATTGAAGGCATACGCCACCACATCAGGATTCTCTTACTGTTACTTCTAAGCACTGCTCAAGTAGACATGGCTTTTATTCTTTTTGCCTAATGTACAGCCTTTTATCATATATACTGTCTGTCATTGTTTCAAAGAGCTCTGATCATCCTATTGTTCTCCAGTGAGGAGTTTGCTAATTCTGATGCTGAGTGGCTGGGAAGGAACTCACAACAAGGACCCTGGGGCCAGCTGTGTTTGGATAAGGTTGGGCTGCACGGACAAACTGCCCAACAATATCACACCTTCTGTAGTGCATTAAGTACGCTTATAGCTCTTATGTATTTTGATTATAGGATCTTAAGGATTTAAAATGGGCTGTACCTAGAAAGTTCTAAATAACTAAAATGAAGATAAAATGTACAATAAAAATATTCATCAGATTGGGGACACAAATTAGACTTGATAGGCCTTAAAAGTAATTAATAACAGAGGACATGAAACCAAGTGAGGGGAGTAAGGAGGGTATGGATAGGGGAGGGGGTCTGAATGTGATCAAAATACAGTGTATGAAATTCTCAAAAATGTAATAGGAATATTTTTAAAATATCCACCAGAGTACCTTGGCTTTCTCTCCTTGACTCTTTTTGTTTCATTTTGTTTTTGAGATAGGGTCTTCCTGTCCCAGCTGGCTACTGACTGTGTAGACCAGGCTGAGCTTGATCTCATAGAGATCTTCCTGTCTTTGCCTCCCAAGTGCTGGGATTAAAGGCCTGCACCACCACACCCAGCTCCCCTTGAATCTTTTTTTAAAATCACATTAATTTATTTGGGGGGGAACACATGCCACAGTGCATGCTTTCTTCCTACCATGTGGGTCAGATTCAGGTGGGCATCACAAGCACCTTTAGCTGCTGAGCCATATTGCTAGACCTTCCTTGAATTTTAGTAATAAAAGTAGTTACTATTTATTGAAAAATTTCCACACACTAAGAATTAAGTTAAATCTTTATATATTATCTCATTTAATCTTTATTGCAATCTTATGAAGTAGGTATTATAACAACTGTATATAAAGCTGTGACTTTTTAGGCATAAAGAGTAAAATCAATGATAATTATGTAATTAAGAAAATGCTGATTTAACTACAAATGACTTTTCAAAGCAAGAGTCATAAAATTTTTCCTAAGAAAAATAAAATAACATTATCATGAAAGTACAGAAGTGATTTAATAACATTACTTACTGAATACAGTGTTAGAACTTTAGGAAATTTGTCTTATTGTTCAGAAAATTATTTAAAATGTTTGTTTAAAAAATATGCAATACAGGCCAGTGAAATGATTCAGTGGGTAAGCCTGACAACCAAAATTCAATCCCTGGGACGTACTTGGTGAAAGAAGAGAACTGATAACCACAAGCTGTCCTTTGATCACCACACACTTGCTATGGCACATGCATGCCCACATATACACACAAATAAATAAATATAATAAAACTTTTAAATGCATTAATGTAGATGAAATAGCTTAATGTGATGCTTTGTCTATAGTAAGCTTAAATATAACGGAGAAATGAGACTTTATTTGGAAAGAAGATATATAGGAAGAAGATAAATATATAGAAGTGGAGCATGAAATTATTTAATGACATCAGGAGAATCAAGAAGTAAAACAATAAGGGCGTGGTGGTGCACACCTTTAACCCCAGCACTCGGAGGCAGAGGCAGATAGATCTCTGGGAGTTCGAGGCCAGCCTGGACTACACAGTGAGTTCCAGGCCGGCCAGCTGGGTCTACAGGGAGACCCTATCTCAAAAAGATTAAAAAAAAAAAAAGGAAGTAAAACAGACTGTCTCATGTCCAATCTGCAGACCAATTTTCCCACTATGTGTGTCAGGAAAAATGAACTTAAAGAGGAAGAGAAATTTCCGTGAGTTCATAAAATGAACAATTAGTCAAATTTTAGTTTTCCAGTCCTGAGGGCTTCCCTGTGGAGTTTCTACTAGTATTTTTTATTCCCTGCTGACATTTAATAATAAACATTTTTACTAATGGACACTCTAAACCCTACTTGATTAAGCAATAGATGTTCATATAATCATATTTCTAGCTATTAATGGAGATAATTGCCACTTCTCATCTCCACTGACTATATTGTCACACATCATCTTTATCTTCACTAATTAAAAAGAAAAAAATGCCAGGTACAGAAATGTGAATGATACAGATGTCAGAGGGAGCTGAGAAATTGCACATCACTCTATAAGATGTGACTCATTTCAGGCCGAACAAAACAAATCTGAATGAGACCTGAAAGTCAAGAACTGTTCTCTGAAAATATAATCCATAAGAAAGTATGAAAACTCAAGACAAAAAGAAACTGAGTAGTATTTCTTGGTTTTTAAAAATTGTTTGAGAAAGCCAGGCATGGCGGCACACACCTTTAGTACCAGCACTTGGGAGGCAGAGGCAGGCGGATCTCTGTGAGTTCAAGGCCAGCCTGGTCTACATAGTTTCAGGCCAGCTGGGGATACAGGGAGACCCTGTCTCAAAAGACCAAAAAAAAAAAAATTGTTTGAAAGTTTCACACACACATGCATTTTGATCAAATTCAGCCCCTTTTTCCTTCCCTGCAATTTCTACCCTGTCTTCTCTACCATGTTTTCCTCCAGCTTCTCAACTTCATGCACTATTTTTTTTTTAATCTACTGAGTCCACTAAGTGTTGCCTGTATGTGCATGGGTATAGGACCATCTACTGGAGCACGGGTATAGGACCATCTACTGGAGCACGGGTATAGGACCATCTACTGGGGCACGGGTATAGGACCATCTACTGGAGCATGGGTATAGGACCATCTTCTGGAACATGGGTATAGGACCATCTACTGGAGCATGGGTAGCCTCTTAGGGGCCAAATCCCTGAAAAAGCCCACTCCTCACCCCACCCCCACTCCCTGCAGTTACTAGTTGCCAATAGCTCCTTAGCTAGGAGTGGAACTTGATGAGCCATCACCCATGCTAGGGTTTGGCTGGTGTGATCCTGTACAGGTCTCATGCATGCAGCCATAGCTGCTATGAGTCTGGAAAATACTGTTTTACTGCAGATACCCACTACCTTTGGCTCTTACAATTTTTCTGGCCCCTCTTCCATGATGGTCCCTGAGCCTTGAGGGAGGTGTCCCATTTACACTCTTATTCTCTGCATGCTGACCAGTTGCTCTGTATTAATCACTGTGTACTGTAAAAGGAAGCTTCCCTGATGAGAGTTGGGAGATGTATCACTCTATGTGCATAAAGATAAGAACTTAGGGGGCAGTTTATTACTATGTCCATGTAGCAGAATAATAGTGTTAGAGTCTCCCTTAGGGCCTATGGCCTAGCCAGCCATGGGTTTTTGGCCTAGTTAGTGTTATTAGGCATAAGTTCTATATTGTGGATCAGGCCTTAACTCCAAGCAGAAAGCAGTTGTAATTCCCATAATATTCATGCCACTATTACACCAGTGGATATTATTTTGCCTGGCCAGTCATTATTATCGCTGACAGGGTTCACAGCTGGGTAAGACTGTTGGTTATTTTCCCCCCAGTAGCATGCATAGCACCTTCTAGCCAGATAGTCAGTAGGGATGAAGCTTCCAGGTTGGTATCAGTTTGATTTCTTTCTATTCCATGACTCAAGTATCTGGTGGCATTTCCTGATTTTAAAGTGAAAGTGTTCCTGGTTTATTTTTTTATCACTTACCATTTTCTAGCTTTATAAGCATCAAATGACCAAAAGAATTTGTACACATAGAAGATTCAATCCATTTTTAATTAAAAATACTAACATCTGAAAACTATGGGATTTTTTTCTTTAGTTGAGCTACTTCTGCTTTTAAGGACAAAATTATCCTGAGTGATGTGTTAAATAAATGTTACTAATTCTTATGTGATTAGGGTATAATAATGCCAGTTTAAAGATACTCATTTTTTATATGGTAGTTTAAGATATTAATGATTAAAATGACCACACAATTGCCTAAACATTTAATATGGTAATAGAATGCCTCAGTTAGCAAAATAGTACATTTTTTAAAACTTTCATCTTATTTTCCAAGTTCTATGTGTAAGGCTCGGAGAGATTAAGCAACATACCTAGGGGCGTACAGTTATGAAAGCAGAAATATGGTTTGAACCCAGATTAAGAGTCAACCTTTTACCCTCTTGTTCTAAACAACACTTTCCTTTTTCAGATGTTTCCTCTATTATTCTTAGTCCACAAAAATGCTTAAATCCTTGTCACTGTTTGAATGTGAACTGCCCCCCACAGGCTCAGTGTTTGAACACTTGGTCTCAAGCTGGTGGTGCTATTTGAGAAGGTTGTTAAACCTTTAGGAAGTGGAGGCTTGCTGGAGGAAGTGGGTCACTGGGTCAAGCCTTGAGATTTTATAGCCTGGCTCCGTTTTCTGTTGATTTGCTCTACTTCCTGAGTGCAGATGCAATGTGACCAGTCAGCTTTCTGTACCTGCCACCGTGCCTTCCCTGCCTGTTGCCATGTTATTCCCACCATGGCAGACTGTATTCCTCTGGAATTGTAAGCCAAAGTAAAATTTTCCTTCCTTAAGTTGCTTTTGTCAGGATATTTTATCATAGCAATGAGAAAGTAACTAAGATGGTCATCTTAAAAATCTATTGTGGTTTTCTAGGAAATTTTCACATTAAGAGTTGAAAGGAGAGTGTACACCTGCTATCTCCTCTCTCTACTTTCTTATTTTATTCCCTCATCCATGAGCACTTTGTATACTACCACAGGACTGGAAACTAGTCTCCCTGTGGTCAGAATGGCCTACAAATTGCCCAATACAAAGGTGAATTCTCATTTCTTGTTTTACTGAACCTCTGTTGATTGTTTAACCCCCCTTCCCCAGTACATTTTCAATCTTTGTCTCTCTCTGTCTCTGTTTCTCTCACCATGCCCCTCTCTGAGACAGGTTTTCACTCTGTAGCCTGGGCTGGTATTGAACTCATGGTGATCCTATGCCTCAGATTCCAGGAGTGGAATTATAGGCCCAAGCCACCACTCCTAGCTTCAAGCTTTGCCTTCTCAGGTCCAACTCTCTTTTCTGGTTCTTCTGCTCTGTCCTGGTCATTCTTCTCATCTCCTTCATTCTGCTAAATGTCCAGGTTTTTCTTTATTCAATCTTTAGTCCACTATTCAGATTGGTCAGAGTGTCTCTGTTGTGATGGTAACTGTTTTTATATTGTCAAATACTATTCCTTCAGTTTTAGACATGTCAGCTACCTCACAGACACCCCAAAGAATACTCAGCAGTTCCTTCCATATTACTGTTCAGTTATTGTTTCCACTCTCCTTCCCAGTAAATAACAGTATGAAAAACAAAGCCGTGCTTTGCTACCTTTACTGTAGAGTTTCTTCTTTACCTCTCCAATCTCTATACTACATTTATGATTACTTATAAAGAACATTTCTTTAGGGGCTAGAGAGATGGCTCAGTGGTTGACAGCATTGGCTACTCTTGCAGAGGACATGGTTTTGGTTCCTAGCACCCACACGGCAGCTAACAACTGCCTGTAACTCCAATTCCAGGAGATCTGACACCCTCTTCTGACCTCCACAGGCATTGCATGACATGGGTGCACCTATATACTTTCAGGGAACAAACTCATACACATAAAATAAAAATAATAGATAAAATATTAAAAAAACATTAGGTAGCTCCCAAATAAATTCATCACAAACAGTAAACTAGCTTTAAAAAATGAAACAATTTTAAAATTTTGTATTACCCACTCCAGTGGATGGCCCCAAATCAAGAAGTATATGGACAGCACAAATTGGAGTTGATGGGATGGCCCCAAATCAAGAAGTATATGGACAGCACAAATTGGAGTTGATGGGTTATTAAATTAAGAAAATAAAGAACATGAAGTTGGGGGGGACAAGGAGGTAGGGCTGGATTCGGGATGAGTTTAGGGGAAGAATTAAGGTGAATTAAGGTGAATATGATCAAAATACACTATATGAAATTCTCAAAGAATTAATTAAAATGGGTATTTTTTAAAAAAGGGAAAAAACCGTGTGTTCCCCAATTACCTTTCAAAAACTGCTTAACTGAAAATACACGGAGGGAAATCCTAGTAACTTTAAGGCAGTGTTTGTAAATATCTAAAGGAATCATTTCAGTTTTGTGTTATGGACTGAATTTTGCACATAATCCAGGTAACTAGTATACCTCACTGGCAGAAACATTTTGAGGATCTTTTTCAATAAAGAATGGGTACTGCAGAGGATTCTTCAACAAGTGACTCACTACAAATGTGTGAGGAAGGTTTTCACAATTTCCCTCCTTTCCTCCAGCTCTTGTGTTATTTCAGTGGTCTGTCCTACTAACTGCAGGGGAAGAGCCACTTAGTGGGAGCAGAGGGACCTGGATCTCTGTGCTCCTACAGGGAAGTTACCCAATCATTCACAGCTCTCCCCACAACTTGTGTCAGCCTGCTGCCTTCCAAAGATACGGAACACAGGGACACAGGAGTTACCCCTGTGGCTGTCATATTCTTATGAGACAAGATGAAGAGCCTCCCCAAGATCTTGATTATTTCTAAGGTTTTGCTTCTGGGAAGAATTATTGAAAGACATCATAAAGGAAAGGAAAATGTCCATTAATAAATATTATGGATATGATTATTCAGGACTTTTATGCAAGGTATACTACTAATCCTATAAACTGATTTTTTAAAAAATGGTAATTGGTGCTGGTAAGTGATAGAGCATTTGCCTAGTATGCACAACACAGTGAGTTCTATCTCAGGCACTGAAAAAAATAAGATACAATAAAACAAAGCAAAAAAAAAATTAAAAAACTCAACAGTAACAACAATAAAAACCCAAACTCTAAGCCTATGTGTAAATGTGGGTGTGTATAAAGATCATTTTACAAATGAATAAAGATTAATATACAATTCTTTTTTAAACATTTATTTAATGTGTGTGCATGTGCACATGTGTACATACATGCCATGATGCATTTGTGAAGGTCAGAGGACAACTTGCAGAAGTTGGTTTTCTCCTTCTACCATGTGGCTTCAACTTGGTCTGTCAGGCTTGGTAGAAAGTACCTTTACTGACTGAGCCATCTCGCCAGCCCTAATATATAATTCTTGGTTGTTTGAAAATGTAGAACTGAACAGGTAACAGATTTTAAAATAATTCTCTATGCACATACACTGAAGCACATTTGTAGTTTTCTATCTTAATATGGAATAATAATGATTCATAAAACTCCCTTACAGCAAAATGGTTTCCAATATTACCTGCTTATTTTATTAATGTTATTCATGTTTTAGTCATAAAATAAAGATCTAAAAAAGCCTGAATAATAATTTAGGCTCAAAGCTCGATTTCTTGTTATAATTCCAAGAGAACTTACATTCAAGTCTATACTTGAATGATACTACAATGTGACCCATCTGCCAAAGTTTTTATGTATGTATTAACTGAGCTCCCTCACCCCCAGATTTGTACTGCAAATGACAGACTCACTAAACTTGTAGAGTTTACTTAGTTGCCATTAAAGAAAGAGTAATCATATTTTCTTTCCCACTAAATAAGGAGGGTAGAGATAGAGGCAGATGAAGAAGTAAATCCCACATAGGACGTAAACAAATTAGAAAGAAAATGCTTTTTTGGAATAGGCTATTCAAATTTGCCTTGTCTGTTATGGGCCCCTTGGGTGATAAATATTGAACAATACTTAGTTCACAGCATGGACCAAATCAGTGAAATTTCACAGTCCCTTAGAAGGAAAACCAATAAATCACAGCCTTGAAAAACGTTATGGAAAACCAAAGCACTTACTTTCTGTTCCTTTTCCGGACTCGGCTGTAGGCTTCTAAACCTTCTGTTAGTGTCTTCAACTTCTCGGGCTCCACCTGAGTGAAGGTATGAAGACCAAACCACATTACCCAGACCTGTAATTACTAAACATGGTTTTTATTATACCTTCTTGCTGGACAGCAGGTGTGGCACTAGGGAAGTGGAACCTTAACTTTTACTACCCTACAAATTTCTGTCCTTGATCAATTAGAGGCCAATTCTGGGGCTTTAAGCTGAAGCACCAGTGGAAATGAAAGCTTGGTTTTGAAGTTGTCAAGCATTTTGAAATTAATGTTTTTGGGGAAAAACCTAGAATTTATATAATCTGCAATTCACAAAACCATACAAATCACAAATTCTGGCCCACTTTCTTCACTGCCTTACACTCAGCAACTGCATGTTAGTACTCCATAGGGGAAAGGTGGTCAAGGAAGAGGGTGGGCTTGGAGTCAACAGGTTGGAACTGGAATCTTACCTTCTCATTACTTAGCATGAGTAAAACATTTAAACTTTCTAAGTCTCATTTTCCCCCTTTTGAAAGGCCAGTAATACCTACCTTCTAGTTAGATGTGCTGTGGGCATTAAAGTGAAATGCCATGTTGGACACAACACCTATCATGCAGGATGCATTAGGTTCCCCAGAGGCCAGGAAACAACAAGGCTAGAGACCATGCGCAGTCCTGCTGCTGTGAGAGGGAGGCGCTAAGGCCTTAAGGGCTTGTCCCTGCCCCTTTCCTACTATCACTGCACACCAGTGAAGCTGGCTTTCTCCACAGACCTGGCCACAAGGTGGGCTGGGTATTAGCATGTGTGGGTGTGTACCTAGCCCTCACCCACTCCCTCCCTCAAGAAAAACAAAAAAGAGGAAAACTTGTACATAACAAAATGCCTTGAGAAAACCTTGCTATTTGTATTGATCTGGAAAAAAATCAGTCTAAGTAAAAATAGTGTTGCTTGCTGCATAAATCCAGCTTTAAGGCAAAATACCCAAATGACCTCTTATCTGTCCACTCTTTATGACTGAGTCACATATAAAAATACTTGTATTCAAGGAAATCTTTGTTAACTTTTGTCTTCACATTTTGATGACATTCATGAATGTCATTTATAAATAATTTCTCTGTGATCTCTTCAAACTAGTTTACAGTGAGAATAGAATTGCACTGTCATGTCTGAATTCAGGCATTTCCAATTGTTCAGTGAAGTAACTGAAATATATTCCTTCTTGCAGCTTTATATTTGTCCTGAAGAATACAAATATCTCATTCGCCCACATTCATTAGGGATAGGCAATCCAATGTGTGCCAGAACAAGAGAAATCTTTGCTCCCATCACACTTCATAAATAAATGTTTCCTATGGACCAGAAAAGCTTAAGTAAGCTGAATGCATCCATGTGTTTAAAATAAAAAAGCGTTCCTATATATATTTTCACATTTCATGGCAAACTGAGGTTCTGTCTGGCATTCATTCTCAAGAAGGAAATATGTGAAATACTGTGCACACTACATTTATGTAATCAATAAATAAGTCCACCTTTTAAAATCTTTTGACAAAGTCTCACTATGTAGCCTATGCCTGGCTTCCACTTATTTTTATTTATTCTTGCCAATAGGAAGAAAACCCTCCTGCACATGAAGATCCATCCAGTCTCACTGTGGCAGTGAGAGACTGCACAAGAGTGATCAGGCCATGGAACTCATTTTCACAATAAAACAAAGCAAAAATAAATGATTACCCTGTTGACTGTAATTTTAAAAGCTTGTTAGGTCTAACTATATTTTTAAGTCCTCAATTTTTATTTTTAATTAAGTAAGGAATAAAGGGCAGTGAAAACATTTTTGTGCATTTTAATGCAAAAGACACTGTATTATCATTTGAAATGATATGAAAATTCTACAGACTAATTTTATTTTGTGGATAAGAGTAATACATGTAAGCAATATGGCCAGAATTGAACAGTTCTGACTCCAGAATATTCACTTTCTACCAAATTAACGCCAACATGTATTGAAATATGGAACCATTTTATATATATGAAAGCTATATGTAAAAACATTAAAGACATACACAGACACA